TCCATATCGGTTGTAAATAAGTCAAAATGTCGAAAAAGGGGCTGCAGTTCCGCTGGCGTCCAGCAGGTGGGGGGCTTTGACCGCCTACCTGTTGCTGCTCTGTCCCCGTTTGTACGGCGGTCCCCGGGTCACGGACACGCGCTCCCGGCTGCATCCGCGCACGCACTTCCGCGCGCGCTGCCGAGGCCTGGACGCAGGGGGCGCGTGGCCCGCTTCCGGTCGAGGTTCCGTCCGGTTCCGACCCAAAGCGCGCGCGGTACTCTGTATTTTCAGCTCGGACTTCCGCACGACTCGTGCTCAGTCGGGCGTGTCCGCAAGCGCGTGCGCAACGGGGGAAACGTCAGTCAGTGTTTGAGCGTCTCGCACAGAAACGACCCCCCCCCCCCCCTTTGTGCGCGCGCACGGATGAAGGGCTCATTTGAGCCATATGAAATGTTGACACTGTCATATATGTCACAGGCAAAGATCAATAAAAGGTGGAAGATATGAAGAAGGGGGGGGTTGGGCCGAATAACAGAATCTTTTTCTCTTTTAATATTTGTAAATCCAACCAGAGAAACCGAGAGGCCGCCCTGCATGCAGCCGTTTTATGTGTAAATAGTTGTTGTTTACCAGGAAAACAACAACAGTAAACAGCAGCCAGGAGGCAGCAGCCCCTCTGGGGTAATAAAGATGCCCCCCCCTCGGTTGTCAGTGGTCTGCTTGTTTTATATGTCACAGGATAATGAAATCCTCCTGGTAAATCTTTGCTGACCTTTTTTCACTCACCTTGTGTCCACCTGCTCGTATTTTCCGGCGGTTTCTGCCTCTGTAATATAAATGTAGCTACTGAGCAGCATTGTGGATACTGTTGATTGTATATACCGAGACCTTATCTTATCTTATTTTATTTGTATATCTTATTTTTACAGTTTATAGGGGAGGGGAGTAATTTTACTTATTGTATTCTGTCTTGTTATATTATATTTTGCTCTATTGTACTTACAATCTTATTTTCCTCTCTTCTGTAAACGAAAAGAAAATGCAATAAAAAGAATTTCCCGCCAGGGAAAGTCATTCTGGCTGTGATGCTCATTAATCCTGGCGGCCGCTGCGTTTCGGGGCGGTTCTGATCCGGCCCGACCCTGATGAGGACTTTGGGCTGAGCGCTGAGCTCCTTTCAGCCCCTCAGGCAGAATATTACACTCACAAATAAAGCGACTTACTCCACATCGCTGCCTCAAACCTCTAAGATCTGGTCTGTTTACGGTAAATCATTCTTTTACGCTAGAGGATGTTTGTTCTGGGACATCAGTATGAGCTTTTTTCTAAAGCTTCTTCATGAAAATCAAAGATGTGTGTTCGTTTTGTGTCAGCATGAATCAGGGACACGCAACCTTTACTGCCCCCATAATCCATCTAAACCTGCTGAACCAGCGCAACTTTTTTGACTTTCTATCATTTTTCTAATAAAAAAAATCAGTAGAATATAAAGAAAACTCTTTATTGCTGTCGGCTTTCAAAGATATTAAACTCAGAGACACAGCTTGTAAATATTTAAGAAAAGAAAACTTGACAAACCTTTCAGGCTTTGAGACACTTAAGTGGAAAGATGCAGTTGACAGTTGCCACATCGGCTGTTTCTTTAATAAATCAAATTATGCCATAACCTAATTCGCTTAACAGTACATTTGTGTGGAATTGTATTGTTCTCTTGTCTTAAAACACACAAAAACCTAATAAAAAAATTAACATCCTTTTAAGGACTTTACAAAGGTTAGCTTGCGACTTTCGGGTGGTTAGCATGTGACTTTTAAACTGTTAGCTTGTGGCTTTTGAGTGGTAACCTGTTAAGTTGTGGTTTTTAAGTGGTTAACTTCTGGCCATATTGTTCTGTGAGCTAATATTGATATTTCTTACAAGCTAACCTGAGCATGTTTTGGTCAGTGGGAGGAGGCCAAAGCGCCCAGAGGGAGCCCTTCCATGCATGGGGAGACCATGCAAAGGCCCCATGGCTATTCGAACCACCAACACACATTTATTCAGAGCCCAGTGATGTTTAGATAACATACATTCTCAGCAAAAGAACAACTGAGTTGGATCCACATCGGCCAAAGTCCTCGTTCAGAGAAAAACCTCCACGAGCCTCCTCGGCTAGTTGCCTGGCAACAGTTAAAACAAATACATCATCTTATGGCCGGCGGTACAGAGTGGCAGTGTGCGTCGGATTGTCCTTTAAAGCAAAATACTGCAAAATACTTTAAAGCAAAATACTCCCTTCTGACTCCTTCTTACAGGAATCATTTTCAGACAGAAATCAAAGGCTGTGGAGCACAACTTGTCACTCGATTCCTGACAAAAATAAACTGAGAGACCTTTTTCTTTTTGGGCAACATCCACATTTTCATCACATCTGTGACAGAAGAAGCTAAAATCTATCAGCCTCTGGGGCTCAAGATGTCTGGATCCATCCTTTATTATGCTCTCTTCTGTTTTTTGTTCACTTCCTTTCAAACGAAAAGCCCAATTAAAGCCATTTTCTAGATCCCATTTGAGCTAAAAATACCACCTCAGATATTCATTAGAAAATTAATGTCACTTCCTGGTTTGGTTAATTATTAAAAAAAACCTTCTAAATGGAAAATTATTTGCCCAGTGGTTAAAAATAAAGACAGTTAAGACTGAAAACGAACCACTGTCGCTATTACTGAAAAAACCACGGGGTTTTACATGCAGGAGCCTTCGCTGCCACCAGGGGGCAGATGTTTTCTAACTGTAGGCAAATGAGGGATGCTCAAAAACCTGCTTGATTTATAAGGAAGGGGGGGGGGGAATCCCAATTGAAACAAATCGTTAAATGTTTTGGGTGATGCAAAATAAACCGAAAGGAAGGAAAAAGAACACAATCTCACCCAAAATCCGATGGGAAGTTACTAATCGTGCACCAGAGTTATTCATGACCATAAAAACATGTTTTTGATGCATTTTAATGAGCTATTTACTGCCACTGTTAACCATCACGTTTAGGTCTAAATCCAACAGATATTTGGGTCCTTTTTAACACATTTATGCCCATTGTGAAGCTTTTTGGGGTTCGATTAGGTTCTCTTCCAATGAGCCCGTCCACGTCCCGGCTGTGGCACAGGAACCAGGGGTTGGGAACCCCTTCCCTCCCCCACAGCCCGCTCAGATCTGGGGGTTTGGACCAAGCCCGTCTTATCTCATGACATTTTGTGGTGCGGAACAGGCCCCAGATCAGGTTTATTTCACCTCCAATGGGCTTCTGGACGCTCAAGAGTTGGTTTTAGGGTTTAAAAAAGAGGCTGAAAAACACTCTGATTTCCAGATGTGCACAGATCCAGATGTTAGTGTATCCTCCTGAACTGGACTCGGTTTGAGACACTCTCCTTTGACTGCGAGCCCACAGATGCAGATACCAATTCTTTTTTTAAAAAACGGACGTAAACGCAGAGTTCACCGGCTGTTTCAGGTTCAGGGTCAGCGGCGCCGCGTTCGGCTGGAGTCCAAACGTGGGGGATTGTGGCCTGTTTGGTTGCTCTGTTGCCACGACAACGGCAATTAGAAAAGACTACGTTACCAAGCAGAGAGCGGCGACGTTCCCATAGCAACCAAGGTCATGGAGAAGCCTCCGAGTTTGCCCGGTTCCTCCGCAGGAGGCGTATCCGTCACCGGGAGGCGCCGGGTTCACC